TGCGGGGGCCCGGGAACGTCGGGAACGCCGGGAACGCCAGCGCCTCTCGCGATGGGGCTGCCCCGGCCCTGCGCTGACTCTCTTGGAAGAGCAATCGCAGCCGGGACCCAGGCACCCAGGACGGGAAGGTGACGAGGAGCTCGTGCCGAGGAAGCCCCTTCCCGCAGTGCCATTTCCCCGGCACCGGGCAAAGCGGCGGCACCGCGGCACGGGCCAGCTCGGCCCTGCGCCACACCGGGCCTGCACCGAGGGACAGGGACACAGAGATGGGAGCGGGAGGGGGACACTGGCCGTGGGGCAGCTCCGTCCCATGGGCACAGCCGTCCCGCTGAGCAGCTCCTCGGCTGTGACACGGGACACGACGGCACCACAAACACCCCCCGGCTCAGCGGGGGACCCTTGGCCTCAGCACGGCCAGCAAGGAGGCCTTGGGAGCACTGAGGACTGAGCCCCACAAGTGGGAAAAATCCAGACGGGAGGAGGAGTGTGAAGGAGCCAGGATCCACAATAGCATCTTGCCATGTGCAAAGGCCCCTGTGAAATGGCGAAGTGGAACAGAAAGCCCTTCCCTGCCGTGCAGAAGAGGAGCAGCCACAGAGCTGCGCGAGGCAGACGGACACTAGACGAAATGGGAACCTTGCTGGCAGAAAGGGCAGGAAAGCTGGGAAGAGATGTCCCGCGGAGCTGTTTAACAGCAGGCTAGACCAGCTGGTCAGGAAAGAGGTTGGGTAGAGCTGCTCCAGTCTTTAGAGTCATCCTGACATTCCACGATCCTCCAAGATCCTGACCCACCCCGCTCTACCTTCACCTTCCTCGTCACAGCCCAGACTCTCCCTAAGCACCCAACCCCGGTCCCCACTACCTCATTCTCCCATTTTCCACCCAAATAATTCCACACTCTCACCCTGATGCCCACGTGGGCCGGGCTCAGCCATCCAAGCTGCTCCCCAACCCACCCGCATCTCCGTGTCTCCATGTCTCCTTATCTCCATGTCTCCGTCTCCATGTTTCCACAGCTCCACGTCTCCACATCTCCTTATCTCCATGTCTCCGTGTCTCCTTATCTCCATGTCTCTGTGTCTCCGTGTTTCCGTGTCTGTGTCTCCGCATTTCCGTGTTTCCATGGCTTCATGTCTCTGTGTCTCCATATCTACATGTCTCCTTATCTCCATGTCTCCGTGTCTCCTTATCTCCATGTCTCTGTGTCTCCGTGTTTCCGTGTCTGTGTCTCCGCATTTCCGTGTTTCCATGGCTTCATGTCTCTGTGTCTCCATATCTACATGTCTCCTTATCTCCATGTCTCCGTGTCTCCTTATCTCCATGTCTCCATGTCTCCGTGTTTCCGTGTCTGTGTCTCCGCATTTCCGTGTTTCTATGGCTTCATGTCTCCATGTCTCCTTATCTCTGCATCTCCATGTCTCCTTACCTCCATGTCTCCATGTTTCTGTGTCTCCGCACCTCCCTGTCTCCACGTCTCCGTGTCTCCAAGCTCCAAGGCATCTGCCCAGCCTTTCCGCAGGCAGGGCCACAGCCGACCTCCATCTTCACCAGGGCTGCTGCAGCCCTGCAAGCCCATCCATGACTAAGCGCTGCCCAGGCTGCGCAGCGTTCCTCATGCAGGGCTTGTCCCCAGCACATCCCGCAGTCCTCAGCCCACGCAGCCGGCACGCGGCTGCATTCCCACCCCGGAGATCCCGGTGCTGCCAAAGCCCAGGAGCAGCCGCGTTGCAGCCCGGCTCCTTTTGGAGGACAAATGGGTCCAAGTGCAGCGGGACTGGACCAAGGCTGGACCACAAGCAGGAGCTGATGAGAAGGTGACCAGGGACAGGGTTCGGGTCTTCAAGCAACCACGTGCAGGCAACAGGAAGAACTGGAGCAAGACTCCTGGAACAACCCGTAGGAGGTGCACGAGCACGGAGAGCGCTCCGCAGGGTTCAGCTCGGAGAAGGCAGCACAGCACCCGCGCTGCTCACAGCGCCTCTCTGCTCCTCCTGTGTATTCGCCTCCGGCGGCATTCGAAGTTGTGACTCCTGGGAAAGACACGGGAGAGCCCCGGAATACTCCACGTCCTGCTTCACACGCAGAAGCTCCACTCGGAAGCCAGTCTGGGCTTTTTGCTTCTCAGCGCTCGTAGCAAGGTGGCCCCAGGGGCCTCCTAGCCCACGCTCACCCGAGGACGGTCCATGTCCCTTCACCCCGGGCCCTGTCCTCGCTCACCTTGGACGGGTCTCCACGCACGGGGGCGCTTCCCTGGCGCAGCCGCAGCCATCAGCCGGTTCCTCTGCTTGCCCTCGTCCTCCTGTGCCGTTGCGCGGCCTCCACGCGCTCGCGCACGCCGGCTGCCTCGCGCCGCGCTTCAGACGAGGCTTCACCCCCGCTTTGTGCAAACTCTTGAGCTTTGATGGCGAGACCTCCCGCAAAGGCCCCCGCGGGCGCCTCTTCCGCAGCCCCGCGGCACCAGCAGCGCGTGGCGCAGCCCTGGTTAGAGCAGCGCTCCCCTCCCGGGCTCCCCTCTGCCCATTCCGGCCCCCGGCTCGGAAAGGAACCTGCAGATCCGGCCCCCAACACGTTCCTTGCGTTTTGCTCCACTCTCTTCCCGTGCCCATGCACCAGTCTCCAAGGACACCCGCACCAGGACCTCCCTCTGCACCGGTGACAGTGCGGAGACCCCAACAGCACCGACCCTCATGGCCAGGACGGGGAGGACAACTATTCGGGTCCAAGTTTGGTCATTCACAGGGAGCAAAAATAAAGGACTTAGAGCTTTGATTCTCCTCATCTGCCGAAAACTTACTCCAGGAACCTGGTGTGAATGCCCATTAAGTGTCCAATGTAAAGCTGACTGTGAAGTGCCCCAGCCCAGGATGAAGGATGCATATGCTCTTATCTCAAATCTCTGAGAAGCAGGATTAAGCTCAAGCTGAGTAAAAAAAAAAAAAAAACCCACACAAACAAAATCACTTTCCTTGAAACAGAAGCACCCACACCGGATTGACGCTATCATAAGTAAACCATTCCAGCAGTGCCAACGCCAGTGTAAACAGAGATAAAGAAGGGCGAGGATCCGATTTCCTTGGAACCCTTTGGGCTTAGCACCATGTGGATAAAAGAGCGGACTCTGAGCTGAGATTTCCGAGCCCCACATCTCCTCCGTGAGGCAGAGCCGCAGGGTGGCCCTGCCCGGGGCTCCCTCCTGAGCGCAGCCTGGCCCAGCGGAGCCCGCGGCCGTTCCCCTGTCACAAGGGACAGTTGGAGACACTGCGAAAAATCCCTCAGCCAGGGAAAACCCTGCAAGCCATAGGGAAGGGGGGACAAGCGGGAGGGCAGGGAGAAGCTGCAGCTCCCTCGCTTTTTCCCTCCTGGGAAAGGAGCGGACACAGGGATGCACGCGGAGCTGCTCAAGGGTGACCTCCAGCAGCAGGGTGGCTGCACCAGTGCCCCACGGGCTCTGCAGTTTCCTCGAGGGCTCCCGTACAGGCAGTGCCTCCGAGGAGGACCCCACACCGCTGCCAGAGACCCCCTCGGCTGCCGGGCACGCGGGCTCCGCTCCCACCTCCGGCGGAGGCAGCGCCAGGGCTGCCGGCAGCGCTGGATGCTGCCCCCAAGGGCTCTGCAGCCGAGGCCGCTGCGGGGCCGCTCTGCAGCTCGCTGCCCTGTCACCCTCAAAACCAGCAGGTTCGGACACCCACCCTCTCCTCAGCACATCCCGCCCCGGGCAGCAGCACGGCGCAGGGGTTCGCACCGCCGCGGCAGCCGCAGAGGCTGCAGATGTCTGGGGAGAGACCCCAAGAAAAGGAGCTGCCGCAAAGCCAAGGCTACGAGGTGACTGGAGCCCACAGGTCGGAATTCACCGCAAGTGTTCGGCGAGCGGCGAGAGGCCCCGGGATATCCCGGGAAGGGTGGTAGGAAAACTTCCAGCAGGGAAGAACCACCCAAGTCCTGCAGGCGCTGGGACACAAGCAGGACTCAGAGAAGCTGCTTCCTTGGGGATCACTGGGACAGGAGCCGCATCCTGCTCCCGCAGAGCAGGCAATGGAACTCAAGCCACCCTTGCAGGAGGAGACGTGTCCACACGGCCATGCCCAGACTGCACCCAGAGCAGAAAGCATCTCCGGTGATAAAAGGGGTTTGATGCATTCGGAGGGTCACGCTCTGCCCTCCAAGAACCAACATCCTGCTCCGCAGGCCCAGAGCGAGGCGGCGGCGGCCGAGGACAGGGGAGAAGCACCCCAGGACACAGCGGGGCACAGCACAGGCTGGAGGTGTTTGAAGGGCACAGCGGAGCTTTGCAGATACTGCAGCACGTACAAGCACATGCCTTCCTGCCGAGCAGCTTCATTTTCGCTAAAACTTGAGCATCAGCTGAGCCCAGTCGCCGTCAGGTCCTCCTGCACGGTGCATGGTTAATTATTCTCCAAGCACAATTGCCCTGGCTTATTCCAGGAGAAGGGAGCTGTCTGCAGCCATGCAGGAAACACGGAATCCGCCTGATAAATCCTCAGCGCTTTGGCTGCCGTGAAATAAGCTGAGTTTATGGCGGACTAATCATAAAAACTACAGTGAGCTGAGGCATTTCCAACCACCAAAAATACTGCACAGCTGCCTGAGAACCAGCCGGAGACGGAAGCTCTATACGCCTCTGTCTGAAGCGGTCTGAGAAATAATAATCAAGAATATTCCCAAATAAGTCAACGGATAAACACGGAGCAGCCCCGCGCTGCAGGGAGGTCATCCTCACCCTGGAACGGCGCCGAGCCGAGGGGCGGGGAAGCCTCAGCGCCTCCATACGAGTTATCCAATTAATCCAAGTCACCGGGTACCGAAGAGCAGCGGGAGCCGAGGGGCAGGGCCCGCGGCCGGGTGCTTCCCGCTCCGCACGTTTCGGATGCAGCCACCGAGTATCCGGGCGAGCAGAGCCCAGCGCAGAGCAGAGGGCAGGTCCCCCCGCGGCGCGCGGGGACACGCGGACGAGGCCGCCCGGTCGGGACTGTGGAGCGCCCGTGGTTTCCTCGTGGCTTATGGCATCCCCCTCGGGGCTCCTGAATCCCGGGCCCTCATCCCGGTGCCTGGCCGTGCCGCGGGGGCTGCGCAGCCCCGGCAGAGGAAGCGCTTTGAAGTGGCTCCGCGGCGCTGGCACCGCCGGCTCCGGAGGCGGCGTGCGGAGACTCCCTAATGCGCCGGCCCTTTCAGGGGCAGCCTTGGCACTCGGAGAGATGGCGTGTGAATAGCCAGGACAGCGACAGGAAAAGCAAAGCAAAGGAACCAAACAACAGAACGCAGGGGGAAAGGAAAAAAAAAATACAGAAAACCAGAAAACCAACATCGCTGGAAGGAAAGAGCTCCCCAAACCTCGGAGCCCGGTTGTGCCAGGCCCACAAAATGCCGGGGCGCAGCGGGAAGCAGAGCAGGGGACACGGCCCCT